GGAGGGGGGGAGGGGAGGAGGAGGATGAGGAGGAGGAAATTCATGAGGATGGATGAGTGATAAGGGAGTTGGGGGGGCGGGGAAACAGCATTGAGGGGGTGGGGGGAGGAGGGAGGAGTGAGGACGGACAAGAAGAGAGGAGGGAGGCGGAGAAGGAGGGAAGAGGGAGGAGGAACGAGGGAGGAGGATTGAGGAAGGAGGGACGGTGGAGACGGAGTAGAGGGAGGCGGCTGCGGAGGAGGAGGAAGAAGGAGAAGGCGGAGGAGGGGGAGGAGGGGGAGGAGGAGGAGGAGGAGGAGGAGGACGACGAGGCGGAAGATGAGGAGTAGGAGGCGGATGATGATGACGATGTTGATGATGAGGATGCTGATGATGCTGCTGCTGCTGCTGATGATGATGTTGATGGCGATGATGATGCCGATGCTGATTCTGATGGTGGTGATGATGATGAGGATGATGAGGATGATGACGATACAGGTGACGGTGATGGTAATGGTGATGCTCTTGCTGTTGATGGTGATGGTGATGATGCTGATGCTGCTAATGATGATGATGATGAGGAGGAGGAGGAGGAGGAGGATGAGGAGAAGGATAAGCAGGAGGCGGAAAAGAAGGAGGAGGAGTAGGAGGAGGAGGAGGAAGAGGAGGAGGAGGACGGGGAGGAGGATGAGGAGGATGAGGATGCGGACGCCGATGCCGATGTTGATGCTGATGCTGCTGAGGACGACGACGTCGATGATGATGATGCTGCTGCTGATGTTGATGATGATACTGATGACTATGATGATGCTGGTGAGGATGATGCTGACGATGATGATATTGACGATTCTGATGCGGATGATGATGATGATGATGATGATGATGATGATGATGATGATGATGCTGATGATGATCATGATGCTGCTGATGCTGACGATGATGATGCTGACACTGATGATGGTGGTGGTGGTGATAGAGTGCTGCTGAGGAGGAAGGTGAAACGGAGGAGGAGGAGGAGGAGGAGGGTCATGATAAGAAGGATGAGGATGCTGTTGCCGATGCTGGTGCTGCTGATGATCAGCCTGATGATGATGCTGACGATGATGATGCTGATGATGATGATACTTATGATGATGATGATGATGATGATGATGATGATGATGATGATGATGATGATGATGATGATGATGATGCTGATGATTCTGATGATGATGCAGGACTTGACTCTTATGCTAATGATGATGGTGACGAAACTGATGATGGGTCAGATGACGACGCTGACGATGTTGATGGTGCTGATGATGACGCTGCTGCTGATGATGATGGTGATGTTGCTGATGATCATGCTGATGGTGACGATGGAGATTCCGCTGATGATGATGCCGATGACGATGCAGCTGATCATGCTGATGCTGATGATTATGCTGATGATGTTGACGACGGTCATGCCCATGAACATGACGATGAGGCTGCTGATGCTGGGGATGGTGATGACTTTGCGGATACTGATTATAATGCTGTTGCTGATGATGCTGATGATGCTGATGATGCTGATGCTGATGCTGATGTTATTGATGCGGATGCTGATGCATAGACTGCTGCTGCTGGAGATGGTGATGACACTGGTGGAGCTGATGATGCGGATGAGGATGATGTTGACGATGATGATGACGATGGTGATGATGACGATGATGATGCGGATGCTGATGCTGACGATGATGATTCTGGTGATGCTGACGATGATGGCGATGCTGCGGTTGATGATGATGATGAAACTGATGATGCTGATGATGATGATGATGAGGATGATGATGAGGCTGATGAGGATAGTGGTGATGCTGATGATGGTGGTGGTGGTGGTGGTGGTGGTTTCGGTGATGATTACGACGCTGATGCTGCTGATGATGCTTACGATGATGATGCTGATGCTGCTGCTGCTGCTGATGCTGTTGTTGTTGATGATGAGGTTGCTGCTGCTGATGCTGATGCCGATACTGATGGTGGTGGTGATGATGATGCTGATGATGACGGTGCTACTGCTGATGATGAGGAGGACGATTCAGATGTGGGTGATGATGATGATGATGATGAAGGTGATGATGATGATGATGATGATGATGATGATGATGATGATGATGATGATGATGATGATGATGATGATGATGATGATGATCATGTCGAGGATGATAATGATGCTGATGATGATGCTGATGAGGATGCTCATGATGATGATGCTGCTGATGATGCTGCTGCTTTTGATGCTGACGATGATGGTGGTGGTGGTGATGGGGTCATGCTGAGGAGGAAGGTGAAAAGGAGGAAGAGGAGCAGGAGGAGGAGGAGGGGGGTGATGATAAGGAGGATGATGATTCTTTTGCTGATGATGGTGATGATGCTGATGCTGCTGCTGATGATGATGATGCTGATGATGCTGACGATGGTGATGCTGATGATGATGATTATGCCTATGATGCTGATGATGCTGGCGCTGATGATGCTGATGATGATGGTGATGATGGTGATGATGGTGATGATGATGATGCTGGGTTTTCTGATGATGATGGTGACGATGATGGTTATGATGATGATGCTACTGATGCTCATTATGATGATGATGCTTATGATTATGAGGATGATGCTGATTCCGATGATGATGGTGTTGATGATGATGATGCTGATGATGTTGCTGATTATGATGATGATGATGCTGATGATGATGCTGCTGCTGATGATGATGATGATGACGACGACGATGATGATGATGACGACGACGATGATGACGATGATGATGACGATGATGATGATGATGATGATGATGATGATGACGATGATGCTGCTGATGCTGAAGATGATGATGATGATGATGGTGATGCGTCGGAGGAAGAGGAAGAAGAGGAGGAGGCGGAGGCGGAGGCGGAGGCGGAGGCGCAGGCGCAGGCGGAGGCGGAGGAGGAGGAGGAGGAGGAGGAGGAGGAGGAGGAGGGAGGAGGAGGAGGAGGAGGAGGAGGAGGAGGAGGAGGAGGAGGAGGAGGAGGAGGAGGAGGTGGACGAGGCGCAAAACGCCAGACACCCTCAATACTCCTCTTCTACCCCTCAGTCCTCCTCCTCTCCTTCCCCTCTTCCTCCTCCTTCCTCCTTCTTCCCTCCGTCCTCCTCCTCCTCCTCCTCCTCGGTCCTCCTCCCCATCCTCCTCCGTCCTTTCCTCTGCCCTCCTCCTCCTCCTCCCCCTCCCTCCTCCTCCTCCTCCTCCTCCTCCTCCTCCTCTCCTCCTCCTCCTCCTTCTCCACTTCCTCTGCTTCCCCTCCCCTCTCGTCGGCCTCCCCTGGTGGCCCCGCTCCCCTCCCCCGGTCTCATGCCAGCATTGATACAGTCTCCTGGCGGTGCCCCGCCCGCGAGCGCAGCACGAGTCTGGACGCTCAGGCACCCCGCGAGAGCCCGGGAGGCGCCGCTGGCCACGCTGCGCGCCGCCGCTGCGAACGGCGGGTGGTGGCGAGTGCCGCCGCTCCCGCCTTTGGCGGTGGCGACGGCGGCGGAGGGCGAGGAGGAGGAGGAGGAGGAGGAGGAGGAGGAGGAGGAGGAGGAGGAGGAGGAGGAGGAGGAGGAGGAGGAGGAGGAGGAGGAGGAGGAGGAGGAGGAGGAGGAGGAGGAGGAGGAGGAGGAGGAGGAGGAGGAGGAGGAGGAGGCGGAGGAGGAGGAGGAGGAGGAGGAGGAGGAGGAGGAGGAGGAGGAGGTCGCCAGAGGTCTCGCGAGGTCTCGGGAGACCTCTCGAAGTGTCCAGGGGCCTCCAGGGGCCGAAGGAGCGCCAGAACTGCTCAGACCTCGATCCTCCTCCTGCTCCTGTCCCTCCTCCTGCTCCTCCTCCTCCTCCTCCTCCCCTCTTTGTCATACTGCTGCTCCACTGCTCTTCCTTCTGCTCCTGCTGCTGCTCCTCCTCCTCTTTCCATCTCCTCCTCCTGCTTCTCCCGCTCCTCGTCCTGCAATTCCTCCATCCTCCATCCTTCATCCTCCTCGTCCATCCTCGGCCGCCTGGAGTTGAAGTCATGAGGAGGAGGTGGCCAGCAGCGCCTCCCTGAGCGAGCGAGAGTTTGGCGGGTTGCCCGGCGCAGGCATGGCCGGCAGTGAGCGATGCGTGGCCAGGTGCGGGCGATACGGGTAAATCGAGGAGGTGGGATGTAGGAGGAAAAGGGTCGACGTTCGAGGGAGCGAGGTTCGAGGGATCGATTCAACTTTTTGCGTCTCCAGCAGTTTTTGGGTCTCTGGGGACATCTCGGATTTTGCGGAGGTCTCTAGGGACCTCTGGGGACCTCAGAATCTCTGGACACGCTCTTTCACGTTTTCGTTTGAAACACGTCCCCAGGCCTAGGGCGACGCGTAGAAGCACGGATCTGTTTGTCCTTCTCCGCATCATTCTGCCGCTGATCCTCTTCGTTGTCCTCCTCCTATTGTTCTTCCTCCGTCTCCTAATCTTACCCCCGTAACCATTTTGGCTCAAGCCATTTTGGTACAAACCGCCCATCAGCGAACGACAGCCCCACTGCTCAAGCTCTGTCGGCCCACGTTCCTCCGGCTTGCATCTGGTGCTTCGCTCGTCGTGCTTGAGTATGTCGCTAGGGGAACCTCTTAGGGGAGCAGAGGCGGCCCGCCTGGCCGCCGACAAACTGGTGAGGAAGTTGAAGGTGGAGATTGCGGAGTTGCGCCGCGAGCTGGAGGCCCTGCGCTCGACCCCGACGGCCCGTGAGGGCGAGGTGGCGAGGCGCAAGGGCACTGCGCGGCCCGCGCTCCGTTCGCTGGCGCACGGCGTGAGGCTGTCAGGCGGGCGGAGGCTCAGGCGCCACTGCGCGCGGCACGCCGAGCGCTAGACATGCGCCGACGCCCCGCGGCAGGCACGGGTGCAGGCCCAAAAGGGACCACGCCTGGGCGCTGCGGGTGTGCAGGCGGCGTCACCAGGCCGCGAGGTCGACGAGGGCAGCCTCGACGTCGAGAGCCTGGTGGCGATCGGGAGCGACGACGGCGAGCTGGAAATGCAGGACTGCATACCCGCTGTGCGGGACATCCTCCTTGGCGGCGACCAGGGGCTGCAGCACTTCACTGCTGCTGGCAGCGCCGTGTGGCTCGCGTCGGACTCGGAGGCGCCTTTGGAGCAGGTGTTGCTGGACACGCACCTCGTCTCTCGCCTCAGTGGCATCGTCTGCTCGTGCGGCGCGGTTGTACTCTCGGGCTGCCGCAACCCGCCTTGCGGGGCCCCGCGCGGCACGGGAACGCCGAGGAGCGCCGCGGCGCAGGTGGACGTCGCGATGGGCGTCGAGGCGCTGGCAGGGCAGTTTCCAGCCGACGGGGTGCCCCCCCACTCCCGCGGTTGAAGGTTCTGAGGGTGGCATGTGGTTCTTGGCCGCGGCGGCGGCCGCCGAACCAGAGGGTCACAGCAGCCCGACGTCGAGGCCGATTTCGTGTCGCCGCAGTTTGCCGCCGAGGTTCCCGACGAACGCGACGAGTTGGGGATTTCTGGCGCTGCGGAGCTGTTCGGCTTCGGAAGCGGCTTCTATTTCGGTGCCTCCTCGCCTCCCTCGGCCGCGACTGGGAGGTGCGCCGTGAACGACAGCCTTCGGGAAGCTGCAGGTGCTGCGCTAGCTGGGCTCCTGGGGGTTGAGCCCGTCAAGCCGCCTGCCAGTATCTTCGGGTCCGATGTGGGGCCATCCTCGAGCAGTTGTTCGGCGGCGGCGTCGGGGTCCATTGGCCAAGCGGATTGCAAACAGCAGTAGCCTTGCCGCTGATCGCCGTCGGTGCTCGCGGCGGCCTGGCTGACCCACCAGATGTGCTCCCCCTCCGTGTCGTTCGGCGTCGTCTACAGCCTCATGTTCTTCGTCGTCGGGTACGGCATCGGGCAGGGGGGTTCAGTTGAGCAGTGCAGTGATAAAAAAGTCTCCTCATCTTACCTCCTTCCTTCTCCTCCTACCTCCTTCCCATCCTCCTCCTCCTCCTCCTCCTCCTCCTTCTCCTCCTTCTTCTCCTCTCCTTCTTCCTCCTCCTCTTCCTCCTCGCCTCTCCCTCCTCCTCCGCCTCCCTTTCCTTCGACCCTCCTGGGCCCGTCTGGGGGCCCTCGTGGCACCGAAAAGGCACGGTGGCCGATTGCCTTTTTGAGTTTCTTTCGTCGACGCAAGAACAACGACCAAAACATACACTTTCGGAGGTCCGCGCGGATTCCTTGGATCGGCGCCTGGGCCCCCCCGGTGGCGCCCCCCAGGCGGCGCCTCCGGCGCCTCTCCTGGCGCGCTCCTAGCGCCAGAGGGGGGGGTCCAGCGCCGATCCGAGAAATCCGCGCCGACCACCGCAGGTTTGTGTTTCTGCCGCTCTCCTTTCCTCTGCAGCAGGTCGAACGATGAAGGGTGGACCCTTTGCAGCACGGGGTTCTCGCCTGAACGGCAAGCCCGCGGGGCGCTCGTCTGTCTGGGGGGGCGCTTCCCGCAGCGGAGAGGCAGAGGGAAGGAGTGCGTTTTGAGAGGGTCCAGTGATCCGGGCTATCGGGCCCGCCCGCCCGCCGCCGATCCCAGAAATCCGCGCGGGACTTCCGAAAGTGGACGTTTATGTTGTGTTTTCCTCCTCCTCGTCCTCCAGGACTGTGGATCGAAGCGACTGGGCGGCTTTGGGACCTCCTGGGCGTCTAGAAGGCGTGTCGAGGAGAAGGCCCAAATCGGCGGCGTGCCAGGGGGGAAGTGAGAAGGAGCATGACTTCCCAGAAGGCTTAGACAGCTTTTCAGAAGGCCAGAGGCCTTCCGAGCCTTCTGGGAAGGCCCGTCCCCTCTGACTTCCCCCAAGGCGTTCTCGAGCGGTGTGGTGTTCACAGGCGTGGTGGTGGTCGCGAGCAGAGTGGCAGAGGCGACCCATGCGGATGCTGGTAGGCAGCGAGCAGCTTCGAGCTCCCGAGCTTTCACAGAACGCAGCACTCCAAGCACAGGGTCTGAGTTGTTGCATGAGTCATGTTCGCGCCTGCTTGTCAAATCAATGTCGACCGCAGAGCGGTTTACCGCTTTCGACCATCGGAATTCCTTGGCAGACGCACCGACTCTTAAGGGGGTGATGCTTCTGAACGCCTTGTGCGAGGCTGGCCCGTATCGCAATGAATTCCGCCATCAGGAGGAGGAGGAGGAGGAGGAGGAGGAGGAGGAGGAGGAGGAGGAGGAGGATGAGGAGGAGGATGGCAGGAGGAGGGGGAAGCAGGAGAGGGAGGAGGGAGAGACTCTGGCCCGAGGGAGGGACGGGCACCCAGCATCCGCCATTTCGGCTGGAGTTTGTTCTTCATCCGCAATGCGGCGCCCGCGCCAAGCGCTCCCGCCCTAGGCTCTGGCTCCGTGCCGCCCACGTGGGGCCAGAGATAGGGGGCCACGTGCGAACCCTACCCCTACCCCCCACGATTTTTGAGGGGGAGGGTGGGGTTCACTTCGCTCGAGAGCTCCCGAGCGAAGTGAACCCCACCCTCCCCCTCAGAAATCGTGGGGGGCAGGGGTAGGGTTCGCACGTGGCCCCCCAAGAGGGCCCAGGCCGCAGGCTCGCGCCCCCTCGGCGAGGCATCGGCGAGGCAGCCCGATCCCGAGCACGATCCTCCGACGCCGCCGGGCCGGTGCCTCGGCGGTGCGGCAGCGCCCGTGCGCCGCGGGCCCCGTCTGCTCTGGCCCCGCGCGGGCGGGTTGCGCGCCCCGAGCTCCCTGGCCGCGGCGGGCCGCGCTGCGGCTGGGCGCGGGGCGCTGCCGCGTGCTTTCGGCAGCGAGCCACGTGAGCCTCGCGTGGCCTCGCAGCCCCGCCTTTGGAGTGCAGTGGCGCAGGCCGGCGGTGATCGGCGAGGGCGCGCCGACTCGGCGTCGATCGGCGCCGGCTCGGCGTCGGTTCGCGTCGGTCAGCGCTGGTCCGCGAGAGCCAGGAAGAGGGCACGGGTCGGCGAGGAGCCCTGCGGGGGGAAGTGAGAATGGGGCGGGCCTTCTCGGAAGCCTCGGAAGTCCCCCGGCCTTCTGAGAAGTCCTTCAGGCCTTCCCGCACCGAGCGCGTTCCGCTACTCGCAAAGTGCCTACTCGCAAACGCCCGAAAACCACAAGTCTGCTTCGATGTAATTTACCGTAGATCCACCGCGGCGGATCCAGGCCATTTGCAGCCACTTTGCGATTAGTGGAACGCGTTCGTCCATTCCCTGAAGGCACGGAAAAACCTCCCAGAAGGCTTGGGGGGGTTCGGAGAAGTCCCGCCTTCGGAGAAGGTCTCTTCCTCGCTTTCCCCCCTCGCGCGCCGCCGAAGGATGGCATGGGAGGCTCCCGTAAGTTGCCATCGAAGCCGCCTGGATGCGGCGAGCCGCCGCCGCGCGGGTCGGGGCGGCTGCCAGAGGCGGGCGGGGACCGCGGGTGCTGCTCGCGCTGGCGCTCTCCGCGTGCGCCTGCTGGGCGTGCTGGGCGCTGCCCGCCAGCGCCGCGGCGGTGAGGATTGTCGCCAACGAGGCCCGGTCCGAGCGCAGAGGATCGACCAAGAACCAATCGGCACCACCCCACCTGCCACCCGCTGGGTTGTAGGTGGGGTGGTGTCGTAGGTGGGTCGTAGGTGGTCGTAGGTGGGCAAGTGCCCAAGCATTCGACGCCGCTGGGTTGTCTGTGGGATGGTGTCGTTTGCTTTCTGGTCCAGAAGAGGGGTGAGGATCGGTGGCGTGAGCGGGAGTCCGGGGCGGCCAATCAGCGGTGAGCCGGAGACACCGGCAGTTGGCCTTCGGAGGGCCCCCTCGTCGCCACGGTTGGACGCAGCGCAGAAAATCAGTGCGTTTGGACCCCAGGACGGGTCTGGGGGTCGATTTTGAGCTCCCAGTGTCTCAAGCCGCCCTGCTCCCAGGTGGCGTGAGGGAGAGTTGGGGGCGACCATGAGGCGGTTGGCCGGGGCCATGATATGTCCGCAGATTCCATGATGCCTCCTCTTCTTTCAGTACAGTCGCGGCGCTGAAGAAGGAACCCTTTTCGTTGAGGAGGGGCTCGGTGTTCCTTAATTGTTCCACACCTTGCCTAAGGTTTCCCTGAAGTTTTTGGTGGCAAGTCGAAGTTTAACTTACGAAAAAAGGGGCCTCGTTCCTTATTTAGGGTTCCTTAGGTCAACGCCTCGACTGTACGTCCCCTTGACCCCCTTGAGCCGCTTACGTGCCTCGGGCCGGCGCGATGCGGGGGGCGGCCTTCTAAGAGGCCCCCAGGGGCTTCTAGGAGCCCTCCCTCATTCCAGAAGCCTTCGATCGCCGGTGGGACGAGTCCAACCGAGAGATGCGGCAACACGTTTTTTGATTTGCCAGCTCTCGAGGCACTGGGCCGCTGGTTAAGAGTCCCATCGGAAAAAGGGGCTGCGGCCCCGACGTATGTTTATACATATGCTTATCTATATCTCTATATCTATACACATGCTAGGGGCGGTTCCCAAGATCCGTCTTCTATTGCCGCAAAATGAGAAGTTCTTCATTGTCGAACTCCCTGCCATCCTCCCGTCGACATGCACGCTAGACCCTTCGTGTTCAAATTTCAGCAGCGCTAGCCACGCAACGAAACAACAGCAGCCCCGACAAGGACACTTTGTTCAAGCGGTTCCAATAGAACGACCGACGCAGCAATATTCACCAGGCCAACAAGAGCAGCCAGCCCAGCCAGACCGCACCTCGCCAACCATGTGTGTTTTCTGCAGTTGGGACAGAAGCGTTCACACACCAAGGCCTTGCGGACACCCACGAATCGGAGTTCGACTTCGCGAACATCACTCCAGTCTGCCTCCATACATCTAAGCCAGTATTCCAAAACAGCCACTGGGCGGCTCGCACTCGACTGTCCCAGCCACGCTGGTTCACCGATGGGGGGCGACTGGACTTGACCTCCCGCACGTGGCGCCAAATCTTATCTATGATCTGCCGATGCACATTTATATTCCCCCCCCAACAAAAACAAATAACGCAAATGCATGCATGTGCGTGCCCCGGCCTCACGGTCGGCCCCCAGGACGCTGGCCTGCAGCCAGGGGACGTGCGTTGGAGAGTTGTACTCCACACGCGCCAACCGGGAACCTGCGCAACGTGTCGAGCTGAGCGTGCAAGGCGTTTCCGGAGACGTACGTTGCAGCCATGTGTAGCACTGCGCTTTGCGTTTGGACCTAAATCTGAATACGGTAATGCATTTCGATAGAAGGAGCTGTCACATCATACAACATGGGCTTCAGATCGTGGTCACCAATATCTTTCTCTCCCACTTCCATCCTCTTCCACACTTTTTTGGGTCTCTAGTCATTTTGTCTTCCATTGTGTTTAAGATCAGAAAACAAAAGGTGGTGCAATATACTCGGCTTGCCTTTTTACTTTCACTCTCGTGTGCAATCTATCGGTCGCCCTCCTGGAAATCGGCGGAGCGGCGTCGTCCTCTTCGCAGAAGTAAGTAATCCGGCAACGCAATCACATGTCGAATGCGATTGCAACGCCGTGATGCCACATACTAAAAACAGAGTGTGACAACCTCGTTAAGACCAAAGTTCAACGCGCACAGCGAACAACAATGAAAACCTGTGTTCATTAAACATACAAACGCACAACAACACATGCATCGGATCAGAAAACATTGAACATTGACATCAATGAAGCACATAAGACAAGATGCTGAACAAAGAACACGTAGTACAACACAGAACACATAACACAAAACGCATGGCACTGAGCACAGAACGCAGAACACTGAACATAAGACGCAGAACACTGAACACAAGACGCATAACGCATAGCGCATGATACAGAACACAACACAGAACTCACAGAACGCAGAACACATCACACACAAAGCAGAACACAGAACGAACCGCACAGAACACAAAGCACATAGAACATAACACAGGGAGCGCAACACGAGACGTTGAGCGCAACACGCAGAAACCGGAACACATGAGGCAGAACTCTGAGCACAGAACACAGAGCACAGGTAGCAGTACACAGAGCATATAACACAGAACCCAGTGCAGAATATCAAATTCAAGCAGCAGAGCACAGAATGCAGACCATATGCCGCATAACACAACGAGCAACGCACATAAGACAGAACACAGGGCGAATCCCATGGAACACCGAGCGCGGAGGACAGAGCACACAGTGCAGACCATACGACGCTGAGCACAAAACCAGGACTCCTATCATAGAGCGCAGAACACGAAGTGAAAAACAATGAACACAATCACGAAACACAGAGCAGAGACCACCGCAAGCAGAAACTACAGCACATTAGACACATATCTTTTGTTCTTATTGGCAGCGAGGCGGAGGCAGTCTGCACCATCGGTCGAGCGAGACGGGGACGCACTTTTAGCGAATTGTCCAGAAAGCAAGAGGGAGAGCCGAGGAGAGCGTGGCGGCGGCGGAATAGGAGAGATGAGGGGTCCTTACAATTCCAACCCTCTTGTAATCCTTAGTGAAAGGAGTCTGGAATCCTTTACAATCTTTTGACACCTAGAGCTTTCAGGTTGCATTGCAACTCCTCGTGTGGAGGATTCTAATAATCTTTCTTGTGCTGATATTCGAATAAGAGTTTGGTTATGAAAGAAATCAATGGGATTTCTCTTCATGCGAAGTAACTACAACTCCAAACTTGAAGACTTGCCCCCCCACCGACTCCTCTGCCTTCTTTCTATCCCTCCTTTCTTCTCCTCATCCTACTTCCTCCCCCCACCTCCTCCATCCTCCGATAGAGGCAACAGGCATCCAATAGAGTCCAACGGGTTCCAACGGAACCTCGCGGCCCAATAACAAAAGCTCGGGGAGAGCATGCGGGATTCGTTTCATGAGGGGAGACCGCGGCCCCATAAAGCAATTCCCACATGCTCAGGGAGAGCATGCAGGATTCGCTTCATGGGGGGAGGCCGCGACCCCATGACGCAATTTCCAAGCACTTAAGAACACATGTGTTTTTTGTTTTTTGTTGTTCCTCGCCTTTGCTTTCGCTGTGCAGGCACAAGGGAATTCTGTTTCCAGGATTTTCAAACATTTGTTTTTCTGTTCTGCGCATTGGTTTCTGCAGCCAAGGCACAGGGACATGCAAAGCCATCCAAGGTCGTTGAAGATGGTTTCGCAATTCGGCGCCATGGAAATACATTGGCCAGCCTTGAATTCCCCTGTGCTTGAACAGCCAGCACCAAGGCGGAACACAATCCAAACAATTGTTTGCAAATCCCGGAAACATATTTTCCTTTTGCCTGCGCAGCGAAAGCCAAGGCGAGGAACAAGCAACACACCAAAACAAACAAACAATTGTAAGTACTTGGGAATCGCTTCATGGGGTCGCGGCCTCCCCCCATGAAGCGAATCCCGCATGCTCCCCCCGAGCATGCGGGAATTGCTTCATGGGACCGCGGCCTCCCCCCATGAAGCGGATCCCGCATGCTCCCCTTCGAATTGGCGGGATTCGCTTCATGAGGCCGCGGGGCTCCATTGGAACCCGTTGGATTCCATTGGATTCTGTTGGCCTCCAGTAGCCTCCATTGGAGGAGGGTGATAGTGAAGAGCGAGAGAGGGAGAGAGAGAATTACTTGCGTTGGCAAGTGACAAATCTCAAAGGTGGTTCTTGAGAGCTCCCTCTACCATGCGCCTCTAACAAAACCACGTGGAACAACTCAAACACGGATCTTGAGAACCGCCCCTACCACACACACACACACATGTATATATATATATATATATATATGGCCATATATATATATATATATATCTGTATATATATATATATATATATATATATATCATGATGCTGCTTACATGTCGCTGCTCGCGTGCCAGACCTCCTGTGGAGCTCGTGCAAAAGTCAGGAGGGACAATACACATACATAATTCGTCGTCGATCTCCCAGAAAATATGGGAAACTATGGGAAGTGGGGGGGAAAGCAAGAATCCAATACATGTGGAAAAATAAGGGAATTCTGAGATTTGAGTAGTTCTTTGTGTGTGACTCGGCCTATTCAAAAAGACTGGGCCCAACCTTCCCTGCCTTTAGCTTCCAGGACCCCCCCCCTGCCTTCTCGGAGGGGCGCACCCCTCGTTCCACTACGCCCTCATATTTTTTCCGCTGGCGAGGCCGCGAAGCTCCTCGGGGTGGCCGTGGGCACCACGGGGAAAGATCTGAAGGCGGCGCTCCGTCGGAAGATCAAGGAGAACCACCCGGATGTCGTGAAGGACGACGGGACACGGCTTCGGAAGGTAGTCGACTGAGAAAGAGCGGCACAAGCACTAATTTTCGGAGCTCCGCGCGGATTTCTTGGATCGGCGCTGGGCCCCCCGGAGGCGCCTTCAGCGCCGCCCCTGGCTGGCTCCGCGCGCCAGGGAGGGTGGTCCAGCGCCGATCCGAGAAATCCGCGCGGCCCGCAGAGTTTTTGTGCTTATGTCATTGTTTGCTTCCCTAAGGTGAGGGAGGCCTATGCCGTGCTCGATCCGGACAGCGTCCCAGACAATTGGAACCTCGGCTTCGATTTCGAGCCTCACAAGCAGGCGAGGGCATACCGTCAGGCTGCCTCGCCTTCCTCCGGCAACGTGGGCAGCTGGTCCAGCCCGTCCGCTCAGAGGAAGGCGGCAGATATGCAAAGGGAGAGGGAGAGGAGAAACGCGGCTGCCAGGTCCGACCTGAAGAAGCGCGGCTGGGTTGAGAACCTGATGGGCGAGCAGATGGATGATCAGGTCTTCCAGTCAGCGCCAGGCCAGCACCAATGGAGAGGGACTGTGCCGACGGCAACGATGGACTGGTACCGGGCGATGACCAACATTCGTGTCAGGGCTGAGCCCGACGTGCAGAGTGCTGCCCTGGGCACCGTCATCCGGCAGGGCGAGGAAGTCAAGGTCAACGCCGAGCTTGTGGTCGACGGGCAGAAGTTCTTGAAGCTCAAGGACCAGGACGGATGGGTCTTTCAGAGGGGAGTATCTGGCGATTGGAAGGGCAAGCAGATATTGGTGAAGTTCTGAAGCTGTAGCCGATGCTGAGGCTCTGCTTCTGGTGACGGCTTCCTCAGGTGATTTAGTTCGTGAAGTGCGAATACTTGTGTGTTTTCGTATGCGCCTTCATTACTGTTCTTCCAGGTGTGTCTCGAGCAGACCCCATCGCAGTGCGCCCTTTAAAGTAGGCTTTGTGATGCCGAGTTTGAGAAGTAGTGTGGTGCCGGAGGGTCGAGAGGATGAGAGTGGGGGGTGGGAGGGACGGAAAGGCCTGGACGGGGTGAGATATGGGGGGATTGATGGTCATTATCACAGCCCCGACCAGCGCCCAAGGGCAGGCCTCCCTGGAGCCAGCGGACTGCGAGCACCAGCAGACGCCAGGCGGTTCGGCCCATGACGTGCGCCGACATGTCTTGGAGGAGCAGGGAGGAGGAGAAGGCAAGGAGGAGGGCGAGGAGCGAGGGTAGAGGATTGATGTGTTTTCAGCGTTTCCTCCAGGCCTTCAGTTGCCGAGGCCTCCAGGAGCCTCCGGGGGCCTCTGGGGACCTTGGGACCTCTCCCGTGGGACCTCCAGGGGCCTCTGGAGACCGCTGGGGAGCGCCGACCCGCCTTGGAGGAGGAGGGGAGGAAGTAGCCACACGTGAGCTCCACGCCCATCGATTCGCACCAGACAGGATTCACCAGTCGGGGGGGGTTCTCTTCGCCCTCTCCCGCGCGCTGGCTCTGAGCCCTCCACCCGGCGAGGCGCCTTCCTCTCTTCGGAGGGCGTCGGCTATACGCCTGCACCCATCTCGGGCTCAGGATGGGCGTGGCCAGGATCGCTGCCGGTGTGTACGGTAGGTCCGCGTCGGGCCGACGCGGCAGCGACCCCCCGCCGTGGGCGTTCGAGGCTGAGCGGCGCCAGCGGCCCAGCATCGGCAAATGTGAGACGATCTGGGGACCGAGAAGCCGCCGATGCTTTGAGGTTGAAGGATCAACGCGGTGACAGAAACCAGCGCGAGGGATCGTCACGGCACGAGCCTGCCATAGCTGGCGTCCTCCTGCCTTCGTCGCTCACATGTGGCTAGCCAGGCAGGTGGTCACCAACCACCAACCGACCCCAACCCAACCCGAGGGCCCCGATTTGCCTTCGATTTCCAGTGGGAGGGGTCGGGGAACATTGAACAAACACATATGGAACCCGTACCCCCCCAACCCGAAACTCGGGTCTTCGGGTTGGGTTGGGGTGGTTTGGTAGGTAGTCAGGTGGACGAGGAGTCGGACTCGACGCCCCCCGTGCGCGCTCCTGGGCGATGCGTCGCCAGCGCGCTCTGCGTGCTGTTGCGAGCGCGAATGCGAGCAAGACGCGAACGCTGTCTGCTCTTTTTTTTCGTGGATGTGTTCATTCGCCCGGAGCTCCAAAGATGCTGCCGCCTGGTCGGGCTGGACTAGGACGAGGATGATCCGCTCCAGAGCGTTCCGGAGCTCCTGAGAAGGCCGCGCCGCCCGAGACAGCCGCCGGAGCCGCCGGATCTCGGAGATTCGGTTCATCCCCACCCGAACTTATCCTCATCCTGGCCTCGTCTTCTCTTTCCTCGTTGATGTGTTCATTCGCCCGGAGCTTCGAGGATGCTGCCGCCCGGAGGAGGAGGAGGAGGTGTGAGGCTCCAGGCTTTTGGGTTCAAGTCGGGCCTGTCCCTCTCTCCAGGGGGAATGTTCAAAAATAGTGAGGAAATAATATGGGGGCTATTTTTTTTGAGTCGTCTTGGGCATCTTTTGACTATTCTTTTGAGTATTTCTCATTTTTCGCCCCAAATCCTCCTGTAGGGGGAGAGGCCCGACCTTATTTTAGGCGTGTGTTTGGCTCCCGTCGGGCCTCTGGCGGCCTCTGGAGACCCACCGCACGCGGGTGCACAGCTTGTTTCCGCCGGCGGGTCACTGCGGCGTCGTCAGGCGGCACCGCACACCGTGGAGACCACCATGGCATTTCCTTCTGCTCTCCTGTCCCAGACCTCCTCGCGTCGTGAAAAAATCACGACGGGAGGTTTTTCGCTATTTTCGGCCTCCGTGGGCCCTTCCCAGGCCTCGGGACCGTCAAAAAACGACTCAGGACGAAAAACCGGTCCCGGGGAATGGGTCGGGACCTCTGGGGGTCGACGTCGTGAAAAAATCACGACGTCGGGGGTCTGGGGTGTTCTTCCCTCCTTCTGCCACCCCACAGTCGGACTCGATTGGACAGTGACACGCGGGAGGACACGAGACAACTCCGAGGGCCACGTTGCCACAGGAATGGAGGAAGCATGGGCCGCGAGACACAGGACAGAAGGGTACCCTTGATTTGGCAGGGTCGACCTACTAGTCTGGGCCGACTGTAGAGACTGTTTTTTTTAGGGTCTGGCGTCTGGCGATAACCCGGGTTACTTGGCTTGCCCCCCCTCCCCCCCACCCCCCAGGATAATCTTCCCTTGCCGGTTGTGCAGGTCCGGGGTGGGGGGGCGCGGGCATATGCAGGGCTGTCCACAGATCGAAGGTTAGGTTATCGGCCGGTCCCCTCCTTCTCCCCCCCCCCGGATAACCCGGGTTATCGCCGATTGAAAAATTTATCCCAGTGCGACCCTACCTAGGAGTTGGAGCCCCTAGGAAAGCAGCATTAGTAGTAACAGTAAAGCTAAGCTAACGCTAAACTAAAGCTAAGCTAAAGCTAAGCTAAAACTAAGCTAAAGCTAAGCTAAAGCTAAGCTAAATCTAAGCTAAAACTAAGCTAAAGCTAAGCTACAACTAAGCTAAAACTAAGCTAACGCTAAGCTAAAGCCAAGCTACATCTAAACTAAAGCTAAGCTAAAGCTAAGCTTTAGCTAAGCTCAAGCTAAGCTAAAACTAAGCTGAAGCTGAGCTGAAGCTAAGCTAAAGCTAAGCTAAAGCTAAGCTAAAGCTAAGCTAAAGCTAAGCTAAAGCTAAGCTAAAACTAAGCTAAAGCTAAGCTAAAGCTAAACTAAGCTAAAGCTAAGCTAACGCTAAGCTAAAGCTAAGCTACAGCTAAGCTAACGCTAAGCTAACGCTAAGCTAAACCTAAGCTAAGCTAAGCTAAAGCTAAGCTAAAGCTAAGCTAACTCTAAGCTATAGCTAAGCTCAAGCTAAGCTACAGCTAAGCTAAATCTAAGCTAAATCTAAGCTAAAGCTAAACTGAAGCTAAGCTACAGCTAAGCTAAAGCTAACCAACAACTAAGCTAAATCTAAGCTAACGATAAGGTAAAGTTAAGCTAAAGCTAAGCTAAAGCTAAGTACAACTAATATAAAGCTAACATAATTCTAAACCACAGATAAGCTAAATCTTAGCTAAAGCTAAGCTAACACTAAGCTACAACTAAGCTAAAGCTAAACTAAACTAAACTAAAGCTAAGCTAAACCTAAGCTACAGCTAAGCTACATCTAAACTAAATCTTAGCTAAAGCTAAGCTAAAGCTAAAGCTCCCAGGGGACTGGGGGAACCGCGGGGCGGATGCCGGGGGAACCGCCCGGGGCGGGGAACACTGCCCGGCCCTTTAAGCACATAGAGTATGAACCCTTCTAGGCAGAGCCTAGGCAGGGAAAACGGCCTTCTATTCGCGCTCTTCCCATCTCCATCTTTTTTCCCCGTTTCGTGTATGCCCACATGTGTTCTAAGGTCGGGGCCTGCGGCTCTATCCAGTTTCAGCCAGCGGGTTAATGCGGTGTCGTCCAGGAGGTTCTGTATCTTTTTCGGTGAGTCGGAGTTTTATGAAACATGGTGTGACGAAGCATCGCCCGCCAGCCTCGCAGAGAGAAGAGGCTTCCTGGGCCCCAGGGCTGCCTAAAGACGACCTGTAGCGAGAAGCAGGTCTGGCGCGATTGAATGCATCAGATGGTCGGATGTCGCTAAGGCCTTGGCGGGTGCCGCCGACCCTGAAGGGGGACGACGACGACGACAACGGCGACGACGACGCTGACGCTCTGGAGCCGAAGGCTTCTTCCAGGGAGGGGTGCGCCCCCCGAGGGGGGTCACAACCCCGGTGCTCGATTTCCCTCTGGCTGGAGCGCTGGAGGGGGAGCGGCGACGACAGCGACGACGACGACGACGAAGACTCAAACGGGAAAGCCTCGCCCACTCGTCGGCGGATTTGTACGGAAGCCCCGGGGTCCAGTACCAGTGTGCCTCAGGACCCCCTGCCCTCATGCCAGGCAGGGTGTGGACTTCGTGCGCTCGGAAAGGATGTTTCAGCAGCAAGTCTTGGGAGATTTGTGTACCTTCTTCATTCCGTCGTTCGCGTCGACTAGCGTCGACGGGCGCCTGGTATTCGATGGGATGGTGCCGATTCAGCACCGATGAGCGTCGAGTAGCGTCGATTAGCGTCGATGGGCGTCGATTGCCGTCGCTTTAGCGTCGACTAGAGCCGATTGGCGTCGCTTGGCGTCAGTTCGCGAGAGCCACCAAGACGGTATGGGAGGCCCCCGTGCGTTGCCACAGCAGGAGGTCCGCGGCCCCGCGGCGTGGTGCCTCGATGCCGCGCCAGCGAAGCATCGGGTGACGTCCATTGTCCGCCCTACCGATGCTGGTCCAGCCATCCCTCTGGAGGGTCGAGGTGGGCGCGGCGACTGCAACAGTCGGGGGACCGTACAGAACAGAACAGAACAGAACAGAAGTGCCATACGCCAGGGCGCGTGGGCAGGCGACCGCGCACGCCGATTGCCGCATTGCGGCATTGGCGGCCTACCAACAATCACTCTTGACTTGCATATGGCGACTGTGCAGCAGGAGGAGGGGGATGAGGAAGAGACGATACAGCATGTACCACAAATGTTCGCCAAGCTGCGGGCTCGCGAATGCTCTGCATCGCGGCCTCCTCGGAAGCGAAGTGTGGGCCGATCGTCTTCACTAGGCACTTGCCCAGTCGGTCCTCGCCCGCCCTGCAGCCCGAGCGCAAACGTCTGTAGCTGGTTGCGGGCCTCCGTCCCGAAACGCGAAGCGCCGCAACATGTTCGAAATGCTAGCCCTACCAACTGTTCCGAACCACAGGAGCTGATGTCTCAGGAGTTGCGTCGTGTACAGCTCTTGATTTGCTCGCAGCATATATATATATATATATATATATATATATATATATATATTGGAAACTCTGGATACGTACGCAGACGGGATGTGCAAGATGCTGCGGAGGCACCTGGCTTAAAAACCCTCTAATTGTCGACGTTATGCCTTGTTGAGCCAAGCCGAATTCAGAGAATACATGGCCTTGCTCGTGACAAGTGATTGAAAACTTGAAGCTTACGGGCTTTCACAATGCTGTGTGTTTCCACGCGCGCCTGCATCTTCAAACCTTCCCCCAAGCTGCCCCCCAATCTTTTGCTGAATTCTCCAGACAGCCAACCTGAACTCGAGATTGTTGCCCCAAAATGCACAAATTGTTCTTTTGCTGGAATTGGTTCGCCCTGTGGTGTCGCAAGGCTCATGTCGCAGCGAACAGGCATGAACCGGAACTTGTCCCACTGCAATTCCATGCCGACCCGGGCCCCTGCTTCTGCTATGTCTCCCAAGAGCGATTGCGGATGAACTTGGTCACGCCCTCCGAGCAGCGTGTCGTCGGCATGCAGTAATACCGCCAACGTTTCTGATCGCAAAGCCTCACGTGCACAAGGATATGCATGGCGCTCGGCGTCTCGCAAAACCATCGTCATTACAATGATAAGCAAGAGCGGTGAAAAGGGACAGCCTTGGGATATTCCAGATAGTTGCCGTTTTTCTGTTGATATCGGTTGTCCGTCTGCTACTTTGAACGTTCTGCTGCTGTAACGTCGCCACTGTTTGTAAAGATGCGACGTGGTATTCCGAATTTACGCAGTGCTTCCAGAAGAGCGTCCACGTTGAGCGAGTCAAACGCTTTCTTCCACTCCAAACTCGAGAACGATATACCTCCTTCCTTCTCCGCGTAGGCCAAGTCGATGTACCGACGAACGGCGTGTATAGCGTCTGTAATCCCGTATCCTCTGCGAAATCCGAACTGTGTAGGTGAAAATCTGTACTCTGTTCCACCGTCTTGCAGCCGTTTCAAGACAAGTGTTGCCATTCATTTGTAAGCTACTCATAACAAGCTGATTGGCTGGTAGCTGTCGCAATTGTCGAGGGCCCCCTTGTTCTTGTAAATGGTGGAAGTGATGGATTGCTTTCAATCTTCAGGTACTGCTTGTTCGTTCCAACACTTGTGGCATAGATCTGTGATCCAATCGAACCCACCTGAATATGTAGAAATTGCCTTCCAATATTCTAAAGGTATGTGGTCAACTCCACATGCTTTGTCTCGTTTGAGTTTGCTTACGGCGTTACGCACTTCTTCGTCGGTGAAGTCTGACTCTAATCTTGGCAGCTGGCCTCCTATAGAGGCGTTGTCGCCCAGAAACTGTGCAAAACGTACTTTCCATTGCACCTGTTCCAGATAGTCGACCATCGTGTCAGCTCTCTGCGTGCTGTCCACTAGCTCGCCGCTCAAGTTTTTGAGGCTCCCTTGTCTTCGAGGTTTAGGGCGGCAGTGTTTTTTCTGGGCATCCCAACTGCCATCTGATATTTGTTCATCAGCCCACACAGTGTTGTGCAGCTTGCCTGCTTTACGAACCTGTTTTAACAACGCTTTCTCTTCCAATTTGTTATGTGATCGTGCAGTCTACGGCGATGTATGATGGCAAGCTTACGGGATGATATCCACGGCTTTATCGGCGGCAAAGTGCGCCGTTGTTTTTTTGTGGTCCCACATGTCCTCCAAACCCGTCGGTGAACCTGCACATGAGAAGATACTGCTTCCAAGAACCTTTCCGCGTAGGTACTCCGCACATCGGTGTCGTGCATGGTTTCCTTGCCTGGTCTTCTTGCCACCAGCAGTGCTGTAGTATTTGAGGGTATCCCCAAGGATGTAATTACCAAGTAACGGTCCGTAGCTGAAGCTGCTTGCTGGCGACTTCTCAACGAGGCAATTTCTGTTTTCAAGGTCGAATCACAAAGTATCAAATCCAACACGTTGTACATATCTTCCGTAAAATCTCCCATTGGCAGCGCGCCCGACTCCATGTACGTTATTTTCTCATCCAGCGGGCACTGCACGAAAGTATTCGCTATTTGAAGGTCCAGGCCTGTGCAAAGTTCCATCGTAAGGTCCCAGTTGGGCTGTTCGACTTTACGTCGTGCACACCGTCTCAAACCATAATCTCCTATCACGTCATGTTTTCCTGGTTGCCCCACCCCCGTTCTAGCATTGAAGTCTCCCACACCAAATTTGCCGGCATTGGCACTGACAGAGCGGTACGTGGAGTCTAGCATTGTATAAAACTGGCGTCGTTCGGGAATCGGCCGCAGATAGTGAGGAGCATACCCTGTCATAATTGCCATAGTACGAAACGCAATTTTCAATAAGCCAAGACAATCGATCCGATATCTGTTTGTCGGCCTTGACACTGTGAAGGCACTCGGGCGCCAGAATAAACCCGACTCCAGCCCACACCATTTCGTCCCTGTCTTCACCAGACAAGATAGTTCGATAACCGTCCATGTCGTAGACCTCTGCTTTTGCACGGCGCGTCTCTTGCAGGCAAAGTCTGTTGATACCATGCCTCCCCATGTGCAAAATCAGCTCTGTCGTCTTCGTCTCCGTCAGATCTCGTACGTTCACGTGGCAACGACGATGGAAGCGACTGCTGCCTGGGGAGGGGGGGGGCGTAGGGGCAGGGCGAGGGGACAGAGGAACTGTGGATTGGATCACAATGTCGTCCTTCAGATCTATATCGATGAAGGCGGCTCCAGCGTTGAATGTTGCTGCGAGTACGTTGTCTGAGCTCTCCAGGAATGCTTGTGGACGTGTAGCCGGTACGATACCCCTGGCAGTGGTATCTCTGCCCAGGGTAGATGTATCTCTGGCAGAGAAAAGGGAGACGAGGAAGTTAGGTCGAGTTGAAGGTGTTCTCGACAACGAGTTTTGTCGCTGCGGGGGCCCGTCTTGTGGAGTGGAGCGCCTATGAAATTGCAGCCGCTGATCTCGGTGGTCATGCCGGAGGCTGGTGAATAGACCACGAAAGTAAGCATCATAACGATGATCCAAAATGGTATTTTTGCCCATATCGGATACTCGACTGATTGGACAGGCGGAGTCGGAGTTTGACAGAGGACTTGCTTGTAGTGCAACGTTGTCAGCTCCACCATTGGTCAAGGAATATGAGCTTGTTGAGGTAGTGAATGCCAATGCCGGCTGCAGATCCTACGCTGCACCTTTTGCCATGCCTTTGGCCCCGCCTTTCAGGTACAACGCCGCACGGGTCAGGATACCGTCGCATGCAGTAGCAAATTCGTGGAATTTTGCATGGTTTTGCAAGTCTTGCCATTCAAGCCTCTCTTTACTCCACTCTCGGTTGCCAGAGTTCCCGTCGAACGGAACCGATAGTGCCAATTCCCCTCCTTCTGACCGAAAGGTATCTCACACCGAAGCAAAAATTACGAGCGGCGCTAAGCATAGGTGGGCGATCAGGCGTTGCCCATATATGTTTACCTTCTCGCTGGATCTTGGCACTGCGTAGCTGGTCGACCACCGTGTTCCTGTCTTCGGTCGTGTTGATTTCCATGAGCAAGATCGTCTGTGATCGACGTCTCTATCTTCGATGGCATTGGTACCCATAGCTTCTGCAATTCCTGCTTTAACCAATCCCCAGCGGCATCAGTTGAAACCCATCCAGATTTCCCGACAACCGCCTTGATGTCTCGAAACAATTAAAATAAATTTGTGCCATGAGTGTGCCCAGGAGTATGTACTTGACCTTGTCCAGGTTCCCGGAGACGGGCGACTTCACGTTCGAGTTCTGCCAGTTTCGCCTTCGTCGCGGAATCCACGTACGTTCTGGATGCAGATTTTGCTGAAGCCAGCTGGCCTGGAAGAATAATTTGTTTCCAGGCGGCCTATTCGTTGCGTCAGCTCGTCGATGTCGCTTCGGATCGGCCATATAGCGCCTTGCAGGTCTTGTCGCGATACGCCATGGGTCTTGATAGCATGGATGTCGGTCTTGATGGGGTCCAGGTGGTGGTTCAAGATCGCCTCGAAGCCCTCTGCGGACAATGGCTTGTCCGCGGCTGCCTCCGTGTAGTCCTGGAACTGTTGTCGTCGTCGTCGCAGTGCTAGCGCCCCCGAGTCTGCGGCCAGAGGCCGTGGCTCTTCTGGAGTTCCCATGTGGTTCCCATGTGGTGCTGGAGGATCCTCCTCCTCCTCCTCCTCCTCCTCCTCCTCCTCCTCCTCCTCCCGTGGCTCTTCCCGAGTCCTGGCCTTCTGGAGTTCCCATGTGGTGCTTTTCCGCCGGCATGCCTACGATATTGGAGAGGTCTCAGACACGAGCACCCAGAGTCAAGTCGGGCATGTCCCTCTACAGGAGGAGTATTCGAAAATAGTTAGAAATTAGTCTGGGGACGATTGTTTGAAATTTTGTTTACTGTCCGTAAGGGCTTCGCCCCCTGCCGCCGGCCCCTTCTCTCAGATAATGGGCAATGCAAGAGCAGAATCATGCGGCCTTGGCGCCGCCGTGAAGCAGCGTCGGGATTTCACGCGAAGACGATGAGTAACCGGCAAGACACATTGAGATTCTGATGATATTGTTGAATTCGGTGTTGTATTTCGAGCTTGCTCGCGTATGCTGTGCAAAAGGCTTTTCTAGGAAGTATTGAAATGTTGCAAATCCCATGTGTTTTTTGACCCTGACCCCACCGATCTGCGAGAGGGGTGTTTTTCGACCCTGACCCCGCCGATCTGCAAGTGCCACCGAATTTCAGAAACGTGGCAAATCCCTTGTGTTTTTGGACCCTGACCCCGCCGATCTGCGTGAAGGGGGCCACCGAATTTCAGAAATGTTGCAAATCCCATGTGTTTTTCAACCCTGACCCCGCCGATCTGCGTGAGGGGTGCCACCGAATTTTAGAAATGTGGCAGATCCCTCGTGTTTTTGGACCCTGACCCCGCCGATCTGCGTGAGGGGTGCCACCGAATTTCAGAAACGTAGCAAATCCTTTTTGTTTTTTGGACCCTGACCCCGCCGATCTGCGTGAGAGGTGCCACCGAATTTCAGAAATGTGGCAAATCCCTTGTGTTTTTCCCAACCATCCTGTGGTGTTGGGTCCTCGTTTTGAAGAGACGGTCCCCGCGTTCCTCCTCCTCCTCCTCCTCCTCCTCCTCCTCCTCTCTTCCCTCCTCCTCCTCCTCCTTGCCTCTGCCCTCCGCATGTCTCTCCGTTTCAACACATCCCTCACACGTTTCATGGCCCCATAGGTAGGGAGCTCCACCTAAGGCCCCAGTGGCGCAGCTCGCATGGCATCCTCACCCCATTTTGGTACACCCCTCACACGTTTCGTGGGTCCCAGTGGCGCAGCTTGCATGGCATCCCCGCCCCATTTTGGTACACCCCTCACACGTTTCGTGACCCCATAGGATGCTCCACCTAAGGTCCCAGTGGCGCAGCTCGCATGGCATTCCCTCCCCATTTTGGTACACCCCCTCACACGTTTCGTGGCCCCATAGGGAGCTCTACCTAAGGTCCCAGTGGCGCAGCTCGCATGGCATCCTCACCCCATTTTGGTACACCCCTCACACGTTTCGTGGGTCCCAGTGGCGCAGCTCGCATGGCATCCTCGCCCCATTTTGGTACACCACTCACACGTTTCGTGACCCCATAGGGAGCTCTACCTAAGGTCCCAGTGGCGGAGCTCGCATGGCATCCGCGTCCCATTTTGGGTCATCCTTCACACGTTTCGTGGCCCCATAGGGAGGCTGGTGCCGATCTTGCTCTGGGAGTGCTCCGCAGGAGACGCCCCCGCCCCTTCCCAAGGTGCCTAGGGCAGTGCGTCAGGAGGTCACTACTCGGGATGGGGTCATCGACTTCATTGTATTTTGCGTCTTTGCGTCTCCAGGTCCCGCTTGATATCGGTTTTTGGTTGCTTGGAGATCGGAGAAAGAGGGGGTCATCAGTCTCCCTGAGGACCCAGGTTCCAGGATCGAATCTCGAGGAGGTTCTTGGACGCCTGGGGTCGTCCTAGGGGGCTCTTGAAGTGTTCTGGGGGCCCCACGTCTTCGAGGAGATGGTGCCTCCTCGAGGAAGTGTCGACTCCCTCAGTGCTGGCCCCACTTGGCACTGCCTGGGTGCCGTGCAGCGGCCTCCGCAGCCGCTTTGGGGCACGAGCAGTGGAGAGCCCCCCCGCCCCTGCTCTTCCCGCCGCGGGGCCATGGCGCCGTCCGCCGAGGAGGCAGAGGCCTGGGGGTTGGAGCCGTCTGGGGTCGGAGGTGGCCCTGGTTCCCAGCCAGCAGGAAGGGTGGTGGGCAGGTTCGAGGTTCTGGATTCGAGGAGGCTCTCTGCAGTTTTCGGCCCCTGGGGGCAGCCCGATCCCCCCTCCTGACTGATTTTCTTGAACCCCAACCAGTTCAGACCCCCCCGCCGTTTCCAACCTGGGGGGACGCTGGCCGCTCTGTACACCCACAGCCGCCCTGGCTAAGTGCCCAGGATCGGTCTCAAAAGTCCAGGCCTCCCAGATGGAGTCCGAGCAGACGGGGTCGGAGGATCGCGCCGCATCGCCGATGCATCGGGGATGCGGCTCGATGTGGACTACGATTCTCTCCACGCCGACGGCGCCGATGCGTCGCCGGCGGTGCGGTGCGATCCTCGGGCTCCACCTGCTGAGACCCCGTTCGGGAAGCTTCCAAGGAGGCCCGCCCAGGGGGGGGCATCGGAGGTGGGGGGGCGGGACCGCAGCGATCATCGCCAGAAGCTCGGTTTTGGCCTCGGTTCGTGCCGTGGGAGCGGGCGGGGCACGTCTGCGCGAGGGCGGTGATGTGTCGGCCACAGCCAGGGCCGAGTTGGACAACATATCGAATGACCTCCGGCTCACGATGCAAACGCGCCACCGAATGGTTTCTAGGCAGTCGCCTGTGAAACGCTCTCCCTCAAGCATAAGCGTTCGAAGGTCAGGGCGAATCTCTCGGGTGCGCGCTGGACGCGTGGCGCACGCTAGTGATGGACCCTGAAGTGTCGCTAGGTGGTCCCAGCTCTGACCCAAGAAATCCGCGCGGCCCTCCGAAAGTTTACGCCAAGGGAGTTTTCGGTCTTCGAAGGACTGCTTACAGTCGGGTCGATGTATAAGATCGAGGTCGGTTCGGGGAGGGTATCCTCGTGTTCTTCGTGTTTGTTGGATGTTCTAGTGCATCTCGGGTACATTATCCTTGGATGTTCGCGAGCCTCACAACCAGAATATTTTTTTTTGTTTTTAAACTGGGTCACCAGGTCACCGGGTCAACTGACCCACACCGCCGGGTCACCGGGTCACCGGATCACCGGGTCAATTGAACAGCACCACCGGGTCACCGGGTCACCAGGTCAATTGACCCACACCACCGGGTCACCGGGTCACCGGGTCACTGGGTCACCGGATCGCCGGGTCACCGGGTCACCGGGTTATGGGTCACCAGGTCACCGGGTCGTTGGGTCACCAGGTCATCGGGTTTTTGGATGACCGGGTCACTGGATCACCGGTTCACCGGGTCACCGGTCACCGTGTCACGGGGTCTCGAGGTCTCCAGGTTTTTGGGCCACCGGGTCGTTAACGCGGGTCGCCGGGTCTCCGGGTCATTGGGTCATGAGGTTACCGGATCCCTGGATCACCAGGTCGCTGGGTCACTGGGTCACTGGGTCACCAGGTCACCAGGTCAATTGACAATTGACCCACGCATGCGCCCCGCCTGATCACCGGGTCACCGGGTCAACTGACCCACACCACGGGGTTACTGTGTCATTCATTGAGTCATCGTGTCATCCGCAGGTCACTGCACCATGGGTCACCGGGTCACCGGGTCACCGGGTCACCATCACCAGGGCCGCCAGGTCAGGTCACCGGGTCATTGGGTCACGATCGTTAGATCACGGGGTCACCAGGTCAAGGGGTCACCGGGTCAACGGGTCCATGGGTCACCAGGTTATTGGGTCACCAGGTCACTGGGTCCCTGGGTCACAGTGTCACCGGGTCATTGGGTCACCGGGTCACGAGGTCACCGGGTCACGGGGTCACCGGGTCACCAGGGCCCCGGCTCACTGGGTCTCCAGGCCACGAGGTCATGGGTCACCGGGTCACCGGTTTACCGGGTCACGGCGTCACCATGCAGGTCACCGGGTTGGCTCACCGGGTATTTGGTCACGGGGTCACGTACCGGGTAATCGGCTCACCGGGTCACCAGGTCGCGGGTCACTGCGGGTCACCGGGCCACCGGGTCACCGGGTCACCGAATCACCGGGTCACCGGGTCACTGGGTCATTGGTCATTGGGTCACCGGGTCACCAGGTCACCGGATCACCAGGTTTTTGTGTCGTTGGGTCACCAGGTCACCGGGTCACCGGGTTGCGGGGTCATCTGGTCACCGGGGGATAATCGGGTCACCGGGGGTAACCAGGTCACTGGGTCGTTGGGTCACCCGGGGACCGTGTCACGGCCCGGGGTCACCGGTCACCGGGTCACCGGGTCGTTGGGTCACGTCGGTCGCCGGGTCACCAGGTCATTGAGTTGCGGGGTCATGTCATTGGATCAACGGATCACCAGGTCACCGGGTCACCGCGGGTGACTGGGTCAATTGACCCACGCCGCCGGGTCACCAGGTCACCAGGTCATTGGGTCACTGCAGGTCATTGGGTCCACCAGGTCACCGGATCCCTGGTCGCCGGGTCACTACTCCAATGGGTCACCGGGTCCTTCGGTCACCAGGTCACTGGGTCAATGGGTCACTGGGTCACTGGGTCACCTGATCACCGGGTCACCGCGTCACCCGGTCACCGGGTCACCGGGTCATCGGGTCACCAGTCGCCAGGTCACCGCGGTCATTGGGTAACCGGGTCACAGGGTAATCGGGTCATTGGGTCACCGGGTCACTGGGTTTCACCGACCCAATTAAATAAAAAAGATATTTGGTTCACATCCATTCGGAGGTTCTGTGTGTCTTGGCCGACAGAGGATTCGGGCCCGGGTCCACTATACGCCGATTAGGGCCCAGGATCGGCTTGGTCAGGCTGGTGAGGCAGAGCAGGGCCTGCGTCCCCCGAGAGGCGGCAGATGCGGCCGCCCCTGGCCCCTGTGGCGGCGGCAAGCTTCGCGGCTGGGAGTTCTGGAGGGCCATCGGCTCGCCCAGGCTCGGCTCCTGGCGAACCCGCTCTCAACAGCTGTTTTGATGACGACGCGCTTCAGACTAGGGCCTTCGTCTGGGCCAGGAAAGGCGGTGGTGGGTTCCTGGGCGAGCGCCGTGCATCGCGCGAGCAGGGCAGCTTGGGAGCAAGATCTCTTTGGCAGAACAGCTCACGAGGGTAACACACAGATGATCGTTTCTTTTGTCGGCGCCTTCAAAAGGTTCGTGGCCGCCCCGATGGTGGACCAGTCCGAGCTGCCCTTCCGGATGCTGTGCCGCCGGTACGGTGCCATGGGTCTTCTCTCTTCTCAGCATTGAAGGGAAGGAGATGTTTGGGATTTGAGGTTCTGATGATATAGATTTTCCGACATTTGTTGTATTTGTTTGACAGTTTTCGTCTGGACGGCCGGATCCGCCTTGCAATTCTTGCCAAACCGCACCCGAAGAGACATTCCAGTGTCGATGCTTATCGAGGAAATGGGCGTTTTTTTGTGTTTGTGTGCTGGCACCCAGTGCCCTCCACTGGCCCCATTATGGTGAATAAATCACACGGGATAAAAGCCAACCCTTGAGTCAGGAACCCGCTTCCCTTATACGTCTTTCCTTTCTGGCGATGATGACGCTTTTACCACGCAGCTTACACCGCATATCATTTACCACTTAGAGCACACCACATAGCTCCACACCGCATAGTTAAGACCACACAGCTGATACATGCATATTTGCACAGTGTATGTGTGCATGTATGTGCGTATATATGTACTAATGCATGTATGTTTGGATGTATGTTTATATGTATTTGTATTAGATATGTACGTATGTATGCATGGAGCCTAGGTATGTATATATGTATGTATACGCATGTAGGTGTGAACGTATGTATGTATGTATGTATGATTGCATGTATATATGCGTGTATGTACGCATGCATATAGGTACGTACGTATGCATAGTAATTTTATGCGTGTATGCATGTATGTATGTATGTAGACATGTATGTATGAATGAATGTATACCTGCCTGTCTGTATGTATATCTGTATGGACATATGTACGTATGCACGTATGTACGTATCGATGTGTGTATTTTTGTATGTATAGATGTATGCACGTATGTATGTATGTATATATGCGAATGTATATGTGTATGTGTACGTATATGTAGAGGGATATGTATATGTACATGTGCATGCACACCTGTATGTGTATATGTATCTATGTATGCACATGTACATGCACATGTACATTATTTATATATATATATACATATACATCCGGATGTATGTATGACTGTATGCATGCATCTTTGTATGTAGGTGTGCACATCTGTACGTGTTTATGTATGTACGTATGTATATATATATATGTGTATATATGTATATGCATTTATGCAAGTGCGTATGTATGTATGATTTACATGCAACGATGTACGTCTTTATGTTTGCAATCATGTATTTAAGATCTATGTCTGTATGTCTGTATGTGTGCACATATATATATATATAGATGCTTGTACACAGCAATGTCATTTTATGTGTATGTACACACATATGTACATATTTGGAGAGGAGAATAAACACATATGCGGAAACAGTTTGAGCATGATTGCCCTCTCGCCCTCTCCTCCTTGTTTGGTTCAAAGTATTCAGAGAAGTCCGACAGTTTGCGTAGATAAATGCCGGAACTGTATAAGCGTATTGACATCTAAGTATCCATCAGGTGCGGAAGAGAAAATTCGATCATTACTTAACTCATTCAAGTATTCCATGATCTCGATATTTTTATGCTTGCAGTGATTTCAGCTGTCTGGGGGCCTTCGGTCCATCCCGCCAGTCTCTTGGGGGCCTCTTGGCGGCCTCTTGGCCTCTTGGGAGTGTCTTGGGGCCTCTTGGGGGCAGTTTTGGGGCCTCGAGGGGGCCTCTTGGGGCCTCCTGGGGGGCCCTCGGGCCCGAGGGCTTGTAATGTCCGTTCGGGTTTCCCATCTGGGTCTCTCTTGGGGCCGTCTTTGGGCCCCCTTGGGCCGTCCTGGGCTCCTCTTGGGCAGTCTTTGGGCCCTTTTGGACCTTCTTGGGCCCTTTTGGGGGCTGTCTTGGGGCGATCTTGGGGGCCTCGTGGACCGCCTCGGAGCGTCGGAAAGCCGACAAGGCGAGAAGCCAAAATCCTTCCAGAAGGGAGAACTGATGGTTTTTGTCTCTTGGGGCCCTCTTGGGACGCCTCTTGAAGCACTCTTGGGACGTCTTCGGGGCCTCCTGGGCTGCGTTGAGGCCACCTTGGGCGTATTCGGGCACTCTTGGGCCTTCTCGGGCGCATCTTTGGCCCTTTCGGCTGCCTTTTTGGACCAATGTTTTGCAGGCTGCGCTACCAGAGGACGCGCGCGACACGCCCAGGGAATCCTGGGGAATCCCCGGACACCAGGGGAATCCTTGAAAATCCCAGGGAATCCATAGGAATCCCAGGGAATTCCTGGAGATCCTTGGGAAATTGGTGGCCCGGGCTCTGGTAATTTTTAAAAGTATTCTACAATTCTGCCTGCGCCTTGGGGCACTCCATTACACGTTGTAGGCACGGTGGCGGATTTTAAGCTGTTAGTGTTTAAGTAGATGGAATACTTTTCAAAGCTCCAGTACTTTCAAGCAGACAGCACCGATTCCGAGCATTGGAAATTACCTAACAGCGAAGACTGATAGGTTTCTAGTGGGATCAAAAGAGAGCAGCAGATCACTCCACAGGGGGGTCCGGGCAGGTGTTGGGAGTTGCCGGGCGGCAGTGAGCCGGGCTCGTTTTTCACCAACAGTCACACACTTCGTGCTCTTCGCCTTCCCAGAACTCCATTCCCAGGCCACATTCTGGGGGGCCGGATGCAACTGTAGGCCACTTCGTGCTCTTCGACATCCCAGAACGCCATTCCCGGGCCACATTCTGGATGCCCGGAGCCAACTGTAGGCCACTTCGTGCTCTTCCATTTCCCAGAACTCCATTCCCGGGCCACATTTTGGATGCCCGGAGCCAACTGTAGGCCACTTCGTGCTCTTCCATTTCCCAGAACTCCATTCCCGGGCCACATTTTGGATGCCCGGAGCCAACTGTAGGCCACTTCGTGCTCTTCGAGTTCCCAGAACTCCATTCCCGGGCCACATTTTGAATGCCCGTAGCCAACTGTAGGCAACTTCGTGCTCTTCGACTTCCCAAAACTCCCATTCCTGGGCTACATTTTCAGCAGGGGCAAGAGCACGACGAGGAGGAGGACGAGCAAGACCAGGAGGACGAGGACGAGCAGGAGCAGGACGAGGAGCAGGAGGAGCAGGAGAAGAAGGACGAGCAGGAGGAGGAGGAGGACGAGCAGGAGGAGGAGGACGACCAGGAGGAGGAGGACGACCAGGAAGAGGAGGAGGAGGAGGAGGGGAGGGGGAGGAGTACCAGGAGGAGGAGGAGGAGGAGGAGGAGGAGGAGGAGGAGGAGGAGGAGGAGGAGGAGGAGAGGAGGAAGAGGAGGAGGAGGGGAGGGGAGGGGGAGAGGAGTACCAGGAGGAGGAGGAGGAGGAGGAGGAGGAGGAGGAGGAGGAGAGGGAGGAGGAGAGGAGGAGGAGGACGAGGACGAGGAGGAGGAGGAGGAGGGGGGGGGAGAGTACCAGGAGGAGGAGAACGAGGACCACCAGGAGGAGGAGGAGGAGGAGGAGGAGGAGGAGGAGGAGGAGGAGGAGGAGGAGGAGGAGAGAGACCCAGGAGGAGGAGGACGAGCAAGACGAGGAGGACGAGAACGAGGACGACCAGGAAGAGGAGGAGGAGGAGGAGGAGGGGAGGGGGAGGACTACCAGGAGGAGGAGGAGGAGAGGAGGAGGAAGAGGAGGAGGAGGACGAGGAGGAGGAGGAGGAGGAGGACGAGGAGGAGGAGGGGGGGGGAGAGCACCAGGAGGAGGAGAACGAGGACCACCAGGAGGAGGAGGAGGAGGAGGAGGAGGAGGAGGAGGAGGAGGAGAGAGCACCAGGAGGAGGAGGACGAGCAAGACGAGGAGGACGAGAACGAGGACGAGCAGGAGGAAGAGGAGGAGGAGGAGGAGGAGGAGCAGGAGAAAGAGGAGGAGGAGGAGGCAGGCTGAGGCTGAGGCTGTGACTGCGACTGCCGTTGCCGCTGCGACTGTCATCGCGAATGCGACTACGACTGCGAGAACAGCAGAATTCGACAACTGGATTTTCATCTGAATCTTAAGGGGAATGCTTTCAGATATGCTTCTACACATCGCTGTTAGGTTGCTTTGCCGGGATAATCTTTACCACCGACGGCGTATACAATGACCAAAATGATTACACTCAACAGCAGATGCGGAATAGTTGTTCCGATCATCATCAAATCATTGATTTTCAATTCTGGAAATAGCGCATAATGTTTTAAAAAGACAGCGCCTGCAATTAGCGCACATATCTGGATGACCTAGCATCGAATACTTTAACACCTCATTTTTAAGTTGAATTGTTTAAGCAATTCAAATCGTAGGTATCTGCTCCTCCAGCAGAGAGCGCCGCTTCAAGTGACGTGTTAATGCAGAAGTGAATGCACAATATGAGGAATCAGTGTTTCGATCATAATCGAATTGTTCATGTATCTAGAATATTCCATGTGTTTCAACAATCGAAGACATCTACGTCGAATCACCGCCGCCCGCTGCCTTTTGGAATCGCCCATGTGGCCGAGCGTTGTGGCAAGAGCTCTGCCAAGCTATCGCACCATGTGCTCCATCTTGGGGTGCTCCAGGGCCGCCTTGGAGGCCATCTTGGGTGTTTTTTGGATGCCTCTTGGGCCGTCTTGGGACAGTCTTGGGGGCCTCTTGGGCGATCTGGGGCCATCTTGGAGGCCTCTTGGGCGATCTTGGGGCGATCTTTGCGGGCTCTTGGGCCGTCTCGGGCCGTCAGAAGACCGAAAAGAAGTAAATGCCAAGATCCTTCAAACACCCATGGGAAACAATGATTTTTGCCTCTTTGGGCCTTCCTGGAGGACCTCTTGGAGGCCTCTTGGGCCGTCTTGGAGGCCTCTTGGGGGTCTCTTGGGCCGTCTTGGGCCATCTTGATGCCATCTTGGGCCGTCCCTGAGGATTCTTGGGCGGACTTGGAGGCATCTTGGACCCTCTTGGGCTTTCTTGGAGGCCATAACCGACCATTTTGGTTCGAACTTGGAGACCATCTCGGGCCATCTGAGCCGTCTTAGAAACCATCTTGGGCCATCTTGGAACGGGAAAGGTATTGACAGATACATTTTGCGGTCCTTTTTGGGTGGCCGACGGGACGGGCCGAAG